TTTTTTAATTATTATTATTTATTTTAACCATTCACGCCAGTGATAGTGGTGCTGATAAGAGCAGACACCACTACCACTCGGGGGAAGGCTCCATCTATTGGTGGGGAGCATCACCTGCTGGAAAACGGGTCCAGCGTCCCATGTACAATGTGATACAAAATGTGATGCAAAAGAGAAGAAGACAAGTCCTGCTGGCATTGATTACCCTGAGAGCCAGGGGATTGACCAAGCAAGGGACTGAGATTGATTGAGCCAGATCGGGGTAGGGGACCTCTTCACCTCAAAATCGCCGCCAGATAATTTCTGCTATTTACTGGCTCCTCTACCCCCTACCAGCTCCCGAAAACTGTCGACTGCCGACCTATTCAACCTCCGAACCATCCCATAAACAGAAACTGAGACTGTCTGAGGGCAGGAAAGACAAGGGCGATGAGGGCTGCCAGCAGTGACTGCCCTGTCACCAGGGGGCTCCAATGGAGGAGACCTGTAACTAGCGACATCCGGGGGGCACTGGTGAGGCAAGTCACATCTCACTCCCTGCATCCGAGTCATGTAACAACTTCCATCAGGGCCAAAGGGTGAGGAGGGAACGGGTCAGGGAAGTCAGAGGCGGGCCTCATCAGGAAGTTTGGGTCGATTTGGGTCCAATCATTGAAGACAAGTCTGCAATCTCGTGGGATTCCTTGCTCCGTTCCCACGGGCCGATCCCCCGACCACTCAATGCGAGCTATCCATCCGCCTCGATGCCCACCCAACCATTCCATACAGAACCCCGTGATTGCCCTCTTGATATCCCGATCGGTCTGAAAGATGTCCAGCTGTGGTCTGAGGTTACCCCATCGCCGTGATAGCTCCGATTGCACTAGTTCCTTTATCTGCGTTGTCAGCTCAGGGCCCTCAATCCTAACGCCCTCCAAGACTAAAATGCAACGCTGCCACCAGAGCGCCCATAGTACGGCCCGTCGACCCAGGTAGTAGAGGTTACATACGTAGGGGGGGGCATTTTCCATTGCGGGACAGTGTCCAGCCAGAATGGACTGCCAGGACCATGGCCAGGGGGTGTCCGGTGTCGCTTTTCTCCAAATACGGTCCCACCATCTCCACGTCAGCACAGCCACCGGGCATTGCATAAAGATGTGCTCGATGGTTTCGTTCCTTTTCCGCACCGGGAAGGCTGCCAAGCATCGGTGGCACCACGAATGCGCTTTCCCTTTCTGTTCTAACTGTGTGTGATCAATCAGCCATGCGTTTGTCGGCCGGCAGCGATGAGCAATCTGCCATTGTAGTGACGTGATTTTTGCTGGCGTAGCTTTCGTTTCCTTAAACCATTTGATGGGGGTGAGCAGAGATCGATCCACGTTCAGGTGCTGGGCCCATCTATCATTGATCCGGTCTCTGAGCACTCTTTTGGGCCTTAGCATCTTGTACATGGTTCTTACTGATACGGTGTCCAGGTGGACTTTTGGGTTTGTCTTCGCTGCTGCTCCCCGGGTTACCTGCCATTGCCATTCATCGGGGTCAATAGGTAATTCTTGTATCGGCGTTTGGGGGAGAAAGACTTTGAAACCCTGTTCCTCTCGCAGTACTCTAACCTGGTACACTTCAGGTTTGTCCCACCACTCGAAGGGGTCCCCAGAGCCTTGAAGCCTCCCCCCCGGCCCGATTGTGAAAAGTTCTACCAACACATCGGATGTCCGTACCCGATGGATGTGGCCTATCCTTGAGTCTTCGTCCGTGCTGGCCACCCAGTCGCCGTCCTTCATGGTGGGGCCTTTTTTGTGCACCCGGTACCAAGCCAAAGGGATTGCTTCAACGATCGTCTCCAGGTTGTGCTCCGTATGGCGGCAGTACCTAAGGGTGCCTTGCAGCTGTGATGCTGTTTTCTAGTCTTTTCTCCCTTGATCCCAAAGATGCCCCACTCGGAGAACCCCATGCTTCACCCATCCCTTCCAAGGGGCTGTTGAACTGTT